AGGTGATCATGCAGTGCAGCATGCCTTCTGTCTGTCCGGGGTTGCATATGGCACATCGCTCGCCGAGTGGGAGTGCGTTGCATGGTTGGCGTCGACGGGCGAGCCATTGATTCCCGGGAAGCACAAGGTAAAAAAATGAGCCATTGCATGCTGCACACTCGTGTGTTTCCGATCGCCAGGACCCTTCTGCATGGGACAGGGAGAAGGGCGTAAGGTCGATCCCCATCTGCTTGGCCCATCTGGCGGAGATGATGTCCCGCACCGCGACAGACCTGGGGCGAAGCTTGTAGCCAAGTCGCGTGGTCTACTGTAGCAAGCTGTACCGCCTACTTGCCGCACCCAGTCCAGACCCATTCTGCAAGGTCGATTCCAAGTCTTGAATGTCGGTTGTGGGGGCAAAGACCGTGCGGTTTTCATTTTCTATCATTCTTACCTCGCAAAGCAGGTTGCGCCTCACCGTGACCTGTGCTGTGCTTTCTCTGGCCAGCAGAATGGTTGATCTGCTTGGGGCTGTAGCCTTATAGACATCGAAGAGCAGCCAGTCTCCTTTCTGCCTGGCTCTCCCTTGGCAGGCCAGGGCCATTGTGGGCACGTCCTCTGTTCAGAGGGTGGCTCAGTCACCTGTGCCCCAGGCGTCTGCTTTCAGAGACAGTTCTGCCATTCCTGTGGGATGGAGTGGAGCTTGTCGTTGAGGTTCAGTTGAGGATGGCCCGTAGCTCGGTATGTGAACGCCACCTTCTGTTGTCATTGTCCCGTAGCTCGATATGTGTACGCCACCTTCTGTTGTCGTTGTCCCATATATGCCTGATTTGCCATACTCTTTTCTCTAGCCAAGCTTCCCACCAGGCGTTGGTTGTGGTCAAGGTCCACGGTTTCCCTTGCCGATCCACAATCCAGTGGTTGCAGAACAGCGGTTGCCGCAAAATCTCCTCTTCCGTAGTTGGTCTCCTGACCTTCGCTTTCTAGTTTCTACTTTAGATTATATCGTGAATTTGATGAGGAATTCTGAGGTGACTCTCCGCCAAACAAAAGCTGTTTAGTCAGTGTTGCAGTTTCTGCACAACTTTTCTTTTCCAATTTTTATTGTTTTTCAGTTCTTTTGTTTTTGTATGGGGATTGTCAGGGCTCTTGCACTGACCTGGCATAGCTGGATGCCTCGGTTGGCCGCCTGGGCAAGCGAGTAGCCAGCTGGGGCTGCCCGGCGATAGGCCAAGTGCAGTGAGAAGTGCAGAAGACCTTTGCGATTCTTGCAGATGTGCAGTTCTGCGAGTTTGAACAGCGGAGAAGAAACTGGAATTGGAGCTTGGCCTTAGTAGAGGGAGCTGCTTCGGTTGAGTAGATACACTGATCCGTGCTTTAGGGCTTCAGGCCCTGCTGCGCACGCACGGCCTCAAACCGGCACCCTCAGCCGCAGGAACCAAGTCTCTTAACAACTACAGCCCCGACACGGTGTCCATAAGTGGAACCATACCTGTCGTGATATCCAACCCACCCCTGCAGGGCTGTAGTGTCCAACGCACACACACCACATACAGCACCACACGGACACGGCAATTCATGCACACTTCCGCTCCAACAGCACGTAACCCACCACCGCTACTTAACTCGGTCACACACACGGGCCATCTTCCCGCGGGTTCCACAGGCACCGTCACAGTAGATTCTGATCCGTGCTTTAGGGCTTCGGGCCCTGCGGCGCACGCACGGCCTCGAACCGGCACCCTTAGCCACAGGAACCAAGTCTCTTAACCACTACAGCCCCGACGCGGTGTCCATAAGGGGAACCATACCGGTCGTAATATCCACCCCACCCCTGCAGAGCTGTAGTGTCCAACGCACATAAACCACACACAACACCACGCGGACACGGCAATCCATGCACACTTCGCACCAACAGCATGCGACCCACTACTGCAGCTGCAGTGGAATGATTCATTGCAACCCGGGAACAAGTTTATGGTCAGACGCTGCTCCATCTGATTGCAGAAGCCCACCTGGGGCTCTTTTTACCTTGGCGCTCCCCTCTGTTTCTCTGTTACAGCACTTGTCATCGAAGATCATCTTCATGTGCATGTGACCCCTTAACGGACCACTACCTTTCTGATATATGGACCCGCGGGCCTCAGAATTCAAATTCGGAGGCTGGGACCCGCCGATGAGAATTATCAACAGCGGGCTGTCAGCAATTTTTTCGGAGTAGGTTACTTTCACGACTTAGTGTCACAGCCTGAAAGGTAGTGGTGGTTTAACACAAATTAACAGTGTATTTTTATCGGTTGCTCTACATGCTGGTGGATAGTTGACATCCATTTGCAGTAAGCAGCAAGTTCCATTGCATGCTTCCACCACGTAGCAGCAACTCGCTTCGTAACGATGCACAGGAGAACCACACGAACGCGGCAATTCAGTCCTTAGCCATGCACAGCAGAACCGCCTCTTTTCTTCTTCGTTTTTCTTCGGCAAGTGCAAAGTTTCCAGGCTTCCCCCTCGGCAGCACCACAAATCCCTACGGAATTACGAATCCTTTTTTTTGCCCCCTTGATAAAAATCCAGACCAGATACCTGTTGACAGTATCAGGTAAAGCAGCACCGTAGGGATGTCGAGAGCGCCACTGCTTGGAACCCTTGTGAGCAGACTCTGAGAAACTGTATGATGGGCGAAACTCCCATGGGTGACCATTTTGGCACTCGTGGTAAGGGTCGCCAGAGTGCTTACAGCGTTTGGTCTCCTCTTGTCGCATGAGGGTTTCAGGTCATAGCCCTGTAAGGCATGCTTGGGAGTTTCCTGGTTGCATGGCGTATGTGGCCAGGTTCAGAGAACATGTGCTGTTCCATGAGATACCTTCGGGCGCCGGGCGCTAATCTCCTGAGCACATGGATATCGATCGAGTCCCAGGTTGTTTTGTGCAGTAGTGTTTTGGGTGTTGCTTCAGTGTATCATGGTTTCAGATGATTGCAGGCTCGTGTGTTGTTTTCCCATCTTGGGAAGGCGAATTGGGGCACAGCCGCAAAGGCAGACTATGACTACTGAGGTCATCTGTCGGACCACGTTTGTGGCGGTTATGTCGGCACCTGCTCTTCTTTATTACTGCTGTTTTTGCTTTCCCGACCGCCCGAGAAGTTCAGTGAGTCCAGCATCGGACAAAATAATAGGATCGACAAAATAGTTCCGGGTTCGAGTAGTGATTTAGACCTCCAGTCCATTTACTGCCACCCTGTTCCAACCTGAGTGCGAAATTGTGGTTTGGGCCTACAGGACGGAAAAGGCCGGTGGTGCCAATCTGCGAAAAGTTTGCTTTTTCAAGGGCCGAGCAGCGCAGTGCATCAGAAAAGAGAGACGCGGATGTCACAGATGTACTGGTAGTTTAACAGGAATTGTAGCGCCAAGTACACCGTGGCTGACCTCTACCTTACCCACCGAATCCCTGAAATAATACACACTGCCTACCGTAAGGAGTTGTGCAGTTTGACAATGTCGGGAGCAGACCTCGAGTTGTGCACAGCTCCTACCATGGGGAGTTTGTATGCTCATGATGTAATGCCCTGGCAGTATGCGTATGATTAGACAGACACCCCTTGTAACCTGTGCAGTTAGCCTGTGTAGAAGCACAGGTTACTATACAGTATCGATGGGCCCATAATGTGAAGTGCCGACCCGCTCGCAACCTCAGGACTGTTGAATATTATGGTATCTGAGTATAACTGTACAAGATGGGGAGCATCGACTGTCATGAAAGGGGGGTCATGAGGCGGTCTACCGGCACAGCTCCCCCTCTGGGTAATCCGGTTGCAACTCGAGTTTTTGCAATACACAGTGTAAGCACCGGTTTGTTCACGACATGAGATGATGCCATGAAACATTGTGGAACCAGTGGGCATGTCGGTCACCAAGGCCTGTCCTTTTTTTTTTTTGTGTGCCCACAGTTCTTGTTCAGCACCATATGGTGCCATGGAAAATTGCAAGGATAGAAAGATTTGGAAAGGTTCCTTTGGGCCCGCTAGGGCCGTGAGCCCTCCATTGCACAGCAGATTTTCGCAGTGCAGCTTGATGCCACAAAAATGCGAGGTGTATTTAACAACCAGATGACAACAAGGACGAAGAAGAAGTACAACAAGAAGAAGAATGCCATGTAAAAATAAAAATAAAAAAAAGTGTGTGATGTAGTGGCACATTCAACAGCTGTGGTGATCGTAGCTGCAGCAAAAGCAGTGGCAGTAGCAGGAGAGGGGGAAGAGGAGAGAGAACAAGCAAACGTGAGTCAGGGCTCTGGAAGTAGTGCGGCAGAGATTATTAGTTGCGCAATATCTTCTCTTTCCAATCTGCATGTCCTGTGTGGATGCATTCGAGGGCATGCATGTGTTAATAGTACTTAATACCTGCCCGACACGCGTGTCTAACCATTTCCAAGGTGTGGTCACCCTGCACATCATTCATTTGTTACACTGTAGCTTCAAATGCCCACTTATAAGATATTGGTGACAGTTGCGTCGGTCGATCAGGACCGGGCCCATGCAATGGTTTTTTTTTTTTTTTTTTTTTTTTTGAAAACAGGAAAGGCTGCTAGGGGAGGTGATACCAGCATCCCCCCCTAGCAGGTTTCCGAGTCGCTCCAATCTATTGGTGGGGAGCCTCACCTGCTGGAAATCGGGTCCAGCGTCCCATCTTAAATCAGACTGATATTCAGAAAGTGACTTTAGTGGTGCCGCCTGCCAGCATTGATTGCTCGGGACACCCGAGGATTGACTGAGCAGGTCGTCTATGGTTTCACTTGTCGTCGAGTATGTTGAGAAGCAGCAGTAGACATACTTCGGCACTTGCAAAACTCCAATGCACACCCCTGTAAGGTATCAGTCAGTTACTTGGAACTGAGAATTTGAGAACCTGACGTGAGCGTTTGACTGATTGCTTGATTGATCGATCAAGTAATTGATTAGTTGTTATATGTGATTAATTGATTGGTTTTTGGTTGGTCGGATCGGTTGTCAATGGCTGTTTGCAGATCGACCAGAGATTGTCTTCCTGCTCAGTCTGCTCAAGGTCATTCTGTTGCTGCATGGCGACCAGGCAGCGGTGGAGAGACTCCCCTGGATAAGGCGAAGGGGGCATCGATAGACTCGATTCAACATCCGGCAGGGCTCCCGGTTTTGTATCAGCCGCAAGGAAGTCTGCCAGGGCTTTCGCTGCCCTTCCCGTCAGGAGCACCTCATGTTGGATCGCCGTACTTTCCATCTACGTTCTCTAACTATGAGATTCCCACTACTTCATCAAGCACGCCGTTTGACGGGGCTCGGCCTAGCCCCCTTGGCTTCGGAAACAATCACCTTTCTGTCGGCTACCCACAGTCGGGTATGCCGCGATTGACATACAGATGGTGGCGCAAGAGCAACGCAGGGAGGAAGAGCCTTCATGAAGTAAAAGAAAGGGTGTCTTCAGAAGGAGCGGGGCGGCCGGGAGAAGCAACTGAACCGCAGCCTCAAGACATTGGAGGAGGAGGAGGAGGAGGAGGAGGAGGAGGAGGAGGAGGAGGAGGTGACAGGGAACCGGATTCTTCTTCGGAAGTGGCAAAGTCAGGTGCCGCTGTTGCCTCTGCGCCTGGGCAAAGAAAAGACAGCAGCAGCCTTCGAGCCTCTCATATCGCAGCCTCGCTCTGGAGGAAGCGGAAAGAAAGGGCATCACAAGTGCGGAAACGGGATAGCAGATTAGCGGTGTACAGAGGCTATGGACAGCCTCTGAGGGAAGGGGACCTTGATGTTCTGAAGTCCGTTTTCGGCAAGTTCGTTTCTAGGGATTGGGAGGATTTAGGTGCGCGGAGGGTGCTATCGGAGCAATGAGCAATTGATTTGACTGTGTCTGTAGCCAGGCTCTTCTCTACTTAGTAGCATCCTTTTTGAGCATTGCACAAATGAACGCAACCCGTGCAGCAACTGTAGCAAAGGTAATATTTTTTTGTCTGAGTAGTAGACCTGCTGTTTGTCTGTTAGCTTTTGAATTTGCCAGGCGATTTCCGTACCATTTCCATAACTGAGACAATGGGACCCGAGTTTCATTCGCGAGCCCTCGGTCATGCTAGTCCATGTCACTGAGACAATGGGTCCCGAGTTTCATTTTTGCGAGCCCTCGGTCATGATAGTCCATGTCACTCACTGTTAGAGGAGGAGAGGTAATTTCAGTGTTGTAATAAGTTTCAGCTGCCTCGCTGGTTGCTCCCTCGGCAGGAGCTGCTTTTATATACTTCCATTTGATGGAGTTAGATGACACACGTTGAGATCGAGATAAATCTAGACAGAGTTAGGAACAAGTACGTTGAGTTTTTCCTTTTTGCCCTTTGAGGACGCAGGCATTGCAGAACAATCCAACCAGCAGAACGCTGGTCGGGAGGGATGCGCAAACTCTCCACTTGATTGCTCAGTCCTGCCGCTGACCAGCTTGTAGGTGATAATGGCATTCCCAGCCTGGTAGGTGCTACACTGCTACTTACTATAGGAGAGTTTATGGTGAACTCTGCTAGGAAAATTTATGTTTGTACAGTGATGGGAATCAGAGCGAGGATAGGTAAGAGACGCAGAAGGAGAGGGAAGGACAGGGAAGGACAGGGAAGGGGATGAAACAAGAGGAGGGTAGAGGGAAGACAAAAGAAGGGGGGAGGGGAGGGGAGGGGAGGGGAGGGGAGGGTCAAAAGGTGGAGAGAGGAGAGGGGAGAAAGTGGAGAGAATGGAACGGGAGAGGGGAAAACAAGAAGAGTTGCCAGTGTACCCCTGCTTTATCAATTATTTTGAACTTCAAGGCCGTCGTCAGCTCTGCTTGCATCTGTGTGTGTGTGTGTGTGTGTGTGTGTGTGTGTGTGTTTCAAGAGACCTCGCATAATCATGGTTTGTTATTTCGACCATGGTTTTGGACTGTGCAGCGAGATCTGTATTCATTTAAGGGGGTGGCAAATTCTTCATGTCCTTGGAATGGCATTCTTTTTCACTCTTATGTTATAAATATTTGGATGGTGAAGTGCTACTACAGATCTGAGTTGGAGCCACACTGCATCCTTCAGTTATGCTCGAAGTTTAAAGTTCCAGTATACATCTCTGTGTAAGCGGTTGAGCATCGTTTTCTTACAGTGCTTGAGCAGTGTTGTTGCTGGACAATGGGAAGATGCATGAACACAAATAGTGCCGAGTCTGCCGACGATGCAGGGGAACGGGTTGGGGGGGAGGTGGGAGCTTCATTCTAGTCACTTTCTATAGCATGGGCAGCTCTCTTGCGATTGAAAATGTGTTTTGCACCCTTGTTTACTTTGGATGCCTTGGGCTGATTTCTAAGAGTTGAGCTGCTGGTTAAATGGTGACAAATTCATAGTGATTTCATACCCATGAAAATTCATGAAAACCCATATCCATAATTAGCGATGCGTCCCTAGCCAACCTGTTATCAGTTTCGGAAGAGTGAAGCGGGGAGGGTGAGGGAGGAGGGTTGAGGGGGAGGGGGAGGGAGGAGGGTTAAGGGGGAGTGTGAGAGAGGACGGTAACTGGGGAGGATCAAATTGGGGGGCGGAAAGAGAGGGGGGGGGGGKGGAAAGAGGGGGGGGCGCGGGGAGAGAGGGGGAGAGCATCCACCGTTGCAAACATAAGAATAAAATAAAAGGGCATAGGAGGAGCGTATGCTCGAGTTTGAGAAGGGCATACTCTCACTATGACTTTTCAGATTCAATCTATCTGAAGTGGCAGTGTCATATAAATCCGGGAAAGTGGCAATGTCACACATACATCCAGAAAAGTTTTTTTTTTTTTTTTTTTTTTTTTTTTTTTTTTTTTTTTTTCAAACAAATGCTCCAGTCTATACATCCAGGAAAGTTCAGTGTCAGGATGCTGTAAGAGTTCTATGTCAACAATACCATCACTGCGGACTATTTCTATTTTTCTTTGAATAAGGCAGTAGCCCCTAACTTTATTGTGTTCACCTGATTCTTTAGGAATCAAGATCATGCTCTTATTTACTACCAGTTGCTTGTGCATGCCATTCAGTCGCATCGGCTGGGTACTGCAGGTTATTTCCACTGAGCTCTTCCTTCATCACTTTGATGAAATCTCCTTACTAACAGTGGTAGTGCTGCTGATAAGAGCAGTCACCACTAGCAGCAGGGGGGAGGCTCCATCTATTGGTGGGGAGCGTCACCTGCTGGAAAACGGGTCCAGCGTCCCTTACACAGAACAGATCAGAAAAGTATCAGGAAATACAACTGAGGAAAACACCTCCCAGCATTGATTACTCTGTCCTCCAGAGGATTGACTGTGCAGGTTGCCAGTGATAAAAACAATTCCATCTCAACCCCCACTATCATTCCCTCTGTTCCATTCCATGGCGGCTGACAGCTTTGTGCAACAAACAACTGAGAACGACTGAGAAAGACACCTGCCAGCATTGATTACTCTGACTGTGCAGGTTGTTGGGAGCGAGAAAAACCTCTTCGCCCTGTACCAGGCGCCAGATACCTGCTGCTGAGAGACTAGTTTTCCCTCTCCCGAAAAACTTTGCCACCCCGTCCCCCATCAACAATCCTTCTGTTCCACTTCGCTGTCGACGATTGTCGTCTACTTACGCTGCTCCGTACCATTGCATGTCCACCATTGCCAGCTGATGAGGCGGGAAGGGCTCGGGGAAGTCTGTGGGTGGGCGCAGCGGGACCCCTTGGTCCACCTTGGTCCACTCCTTAAGGCAGATGCAGTAGTCTCTTTTGAAATCATCCCGTTCCAGCCCCTGCGTTTGTCCCCCCTCCCATCGGATGTGTGCGATCCAGCCCCCTTGTTCGCTTCCCAGCCAGTCCCCTGAGAATTGGTTTATTGCTTGTTTAATGTCTTTTCTTAGGTGATGCAAATCTAATTGACTTTTGACTTTCTGCCACAGGGTGCGGAGTTCTTGATTAATGAACTGTCTCATAATTTTTGTCACCTCTTCCCCTTCTACTGGAACCCCTTCAATGGAGTGTATACAGCGTTTTCTCCAGAGTGTCCAGATGATGGCTCTCCTGCCTATTTTAAACATATTGTTCTCGAAGTCCCTGTCCGTGGGGGAGGTCCATGCCTCACAGAGCAGCGCTCTCCAATCCCATGGCCAGGTGGATCCGGTTTCCAAACGATTTCATATCCTATCCCACCATTGCCATGTTAGCACCGCTCCTGGGCACTGTAGGAAGATATGTTCGATAGTTTCCGGGATCTTTCGAGAGGGGAAGGCAGTGTGATAGAATTTGCACCATGGCAGCACCAAGCGGTCCACCGGTCAGTGGGGAGACATCGATGTTCTATCTGCCATTGTAGTGAGGCAAACTTCGCTGGTTTGGATCTCATGGTTGAAAACCATCTGATGGGGCAAAGAGAGTCATTCCCTACATTCAGATGAGCTTTGCCAGCGGGCCCTCACTATCTCTCTCAAGTTCACTTTTCGTCGCAACAGCCGATATGTGTCCTTTACAGTTAGGCTAAACAACTGTTTATCTGAAGTGGCCGGCATCCTGCGTGCAAGCCTCCAGCGCCACTCCTCCGGGTCGAAGGGGAGCTCTTCCAGAGGGGTCTCTGGTTGAAAAGCAACCCGTAGATCATTCTGCCTCATCACCTGGATTTTGTACACCTCTACGCTAGTACACCACCTCACGGCCTCGGGGGCGTATTAGAGAGGACATTGTCCTTCCCCTTGTGGAGGAGGCTGACTAAGGATTCCTCGACCCGTACCTCCACCATGCTGCCCACACTCTGAGTGTCTCTTGGGATCACTACCCAGTCCCCTTCTACCAATCACGGTCCCTTACGCAGAGTGCGTACCCAGTTGAGGGGAACCGCAAAAATGAATTCGTCCAGGTTCCCCTCAACATCGTGACAGTACCTCAAGGGGACTCTCAATTGCAGCGTTGTTTTCCACTTTTTGTTCTCTGGGTTCCATATGTCATTGATTCTGATTATACCCTTCCTGACCCAGCTACTCCATGGGGGATCCGAGCTGCGATACACCCTCCCATTTCTATCGGTGATGTTCCTATTGCCAAAGAGGGGTTGTCGCATCACCTCTTCCCATGTGGTTGGCGGGGTTTTGTTTGGCAACGGCAGCTGACGCCAGACTTTAAGAATCTGGGGCCAGAAATCATCCTTGGACAGATCTCTTCTTGCTTCATCCCGGCCCGAGTTCTTGATGGTCTGAGAGCCTCGTGGTATGGACCGGTAGCGATCCTCCAACCAAATCCATGGGTGCACCCCCTGTGACGTCGGAGGGGCTAGCCCGACAATCTGTTCCAGGGCAAAGGAGAGTCATGGAAGATCTGGTGTGAATAGCATTCTCATCACCCATTGTATCAACGGTGTCGTAACCTGGATGTCAGGGTCTAAGATTCCCAAGTCCCTTTTGTCTTTAGGCTGGATTACCGACGACCAAGCCACCCTACAAATGCATTCGGCAGCTCACTGTTACCTCTCCACAACAGGGCGAATATTTGTCTTTTAAGGGATTTAACTGCTTTGGTGAGAGTCCAGACTGCACATTTGTACCAGAGAGCCGCCAATACCGTGTTGTTAATTGCGCGTGCCCTGCCTATTACAGACGTGTGTTTGTCATTCCATTGCATTAAATTATGTAGTGTCGGTTTAAGGATCCAGTCATAGTTCAATGCTGGCCTTCCAAGTGTTGTCAACATGATTCCCAAGACTCTGACCGGGATCTCTTTTGGTAGCCATTTTACCCGTGGCATATCCGGGGGGTGCGCCCCTTGGTGGTGGATCCACCACCCCAGAGATTTGTTTCCCCAGTTAACAGACATGTCTGAAACCGCCGTGAATCTCTCCAACAGTTGCCTAATTTCTTCCATATTCTCAGAGGTGGCATCGACCATGATGGTCCAATCATTTGCAAACATTGAGCAGACGGGGATTGCCTCTTCCAGGATATCAGAGATCTGCAGTTTAGTTAGATCTTTGTTAGCTCGGAGATTCACTGTCAATGCCTCCATCACAATGATGAAGAGGAAGGAGGCCAAAGAGTCTCCTTAGCGGACCAGCAGCTACAACGAGATCACCGATGCCAGAAGACCGTTTATCTGAACGGTTGTGGTGGTGTTGTGGTGTAAAATATGGATTCAACGGTGAAAAGACGGACCAATATTCATTTTCTCCATGCATTTATTTAGGAAAAGTCAGTCCACGAGATCATATGCTTTTTCAAAATAAATAAAGACCAAAGCTGCATTTTGTTTATCTTGTCTGGTCAATTTATGAAGTTCATTAACCTACAGAATATTGTCGTGGATCCGACGGTCTTTGACAAACTCCGTCTGCATCGGGTGAATGAGATCCTCTAAGACCAGAATCAGACGGTTTCCCAATGCTTTCGCTAACATTTTATAGACAACTGTGAGTAGGGTTATCGGTCGGTAGTTTTTTTATGTACATCCTATCACCTTTTTTGTGCAACAGGGTGAGAACGTCTTGCCCTACCAACTCGCCCATGCAGCCAGATTCCACACCTGATGATCGAATCCCATGAGATCCGGGGTCATTTCGTTCCATAACATTTCCCATAATTCTCTTAGGAGCTCATCCACCCCCAGTTTTTTTTCCTCGTCCATTTGCATTAACGTCGTCCAGATTTCCGCCTGTGATAGCAGTCGGTCAAGTTGGTCCCTCTGCGTACCGGTCAAGGTTTTCGTAAATGGTTTAAGGAAGTCTGCGATCTCCTCCTCTCTGGTAGCCCCCTCCTGCTGAGCACACCTTGAGGTGAACAGGTCTTTAAAAAAGGTTCTCGCAATTTTGATGCATTGGGCCGGAGGTTGCTACCTCCCTGCTAGTTGACTGCGGATTGTATAGTGCCTCTATGATTGATCTTCGGGAACGCGCTCGGGCCATACTAAAAAACTTCTTGTCCATTGACCCTTCAGTCTGGTGATGGGTCAACTGCCCCCTAATACGTATCCCTTCCCAACGTTGCGTTGCAAAGTCCTAAAGTTTTTGTTGCAGAGACTGCAGTTGTGAGTCATGTGTGTGTGTGTGTGTGTGTGCGATAGTATGTGTGGGTCATTCAAAGGGTTTTGCTGTTCAAGTTGATGATATTGGTGGTGTATTTCCATTTCCTGTTGATTTCTACAGGTTGCCAG